CCTTTCTCAGGTTTGGGATGTGTTGAAAGAGAGTATGAGTGACAAAGTGAAATATATATATATAAGAATGTTTCGTTCGATAGTTTGATTTGTTGACTACTTCTACTGGATTTTTTATTTTTTTTGGTTAGAACTACTACAACTTGATTGGAGGGACAAGTGTCTTGTTCCCAATTGACCAAGAAGAACAAAAAAAACTTAAAAGCTCAAATTTATAAGTTATGCCTATATGGTGTTCGATAAAATGAATTAGAAATTTAGCTACTCAAATTTCATTTCAAGTTCAAGTTATTCAAACATAGCAAAATTATTAATAGTAATAGTCGACTAAATTGGACAAAAATTCTTTGGTATTAAACAAAAGTTGTTTTGAATCCACACCTTAAAATTTGGACAAGGATAACGAAATTCACTATATTTGTCATTATCAATATTGATGTGGTCATATGATTGTATAGTTTAGGTTTAGATGGTAAACAGGTTGACCTGTCAGACACGTTTAATAAACGAGTCATGTTTGGGTGAAATCTATCAAACCGTTTATCATACGTTTACCTGTTTAAATAAAATTAATATAATAATAAATTAATAATTATTTTAAAAAATTAGCGAAAAAAGAAGTAAAGTATTCGATACAAAAAAAAAATAAAAAAATAGTTCAAAGACAAAGGAGGGAAGATGAGGAGCAGTTCAAATACAAAAGCAAATCAATATTTTTTATTTTTGTCCCACATTGACAAATGAGAGGAGATAGAGAGTGCTCACTTGCCTATAAAAATAAGTGGCCTCTTGCCCTTTTTTTAACCTTCAAGTTTAATTTTTTGTGAGATTTGATTAGAAATTTTTATTTTTTGAATTAAGTATAGTTGACAGTAAAAAGATGTAGAGTATTAAAATTTGTTGATATATATTTTTTTTAAAATTAAATGAGTTGTGTCTTTAGTTACTGTAATTGTGTAGCTATTTAGTTCGTGTTATTGTCTAATTTTATAGAATTTTGACAATAATTGTGGGTATTACTGTAATCTCTAATTCCCCACAGCTTTTTGCTCCAGCCTGCTAAACCCTATTTCGCCTCCCATAAACCCTTATCGCCCATTATTCATATTGGGGAAAGAAGCTAATCCACGCAATTGCAAATTTAGTAGTAGAGGATGGCAAGTTAAAAAGGTAGATGCATTCATCCTATTCCAAGGTAATCATTCCCGTTGCCTCTTGCAAAGTGACCGTGATCAAGTTCCCACACACTACTTGTACTTGGGTATTTTTTGCATGCAAGATTGTTCGTTAATGCACTCACCCTGTTTATGTCAGCTTGCTGCTAGAGAATAGGGGGCACCCTGTTTGTTTCTTCTACAAATATTTAATTTTGCATTTCCTTCAAACGCTCAAGTAATTCTGGTTTTAGCCTCGAATATGGCAGTTTTAAGAACTTTTTATCTTTTGTTCCGCAGGACTAACCTCACCTCATCTTATAGTGAACACAAGCACAGACTTTGCAAGTACGCCTCTGATGGCAGTTGCAAATTTCAAGTGCCTTCAACCTCCAAAAGTTTCTTCTGGAGACCGCCTCTTCTGTTCTGATGGTTGGTTCTGTTCCATCGGAGGATTCCGTTTGCACAAACCCACCAACAGATGCTACCTTATTAGAAAATCTGATCAAGACTTTTGCATTGAATCTAAGGTACTTCCCCTGACACTGCGGTTGGGCACATTGACCTTTAAGCCTTGTAAGTGGGAATTGGAAGGTGGGGGTTGCAATAACTTAGAATTTTTAAACAAATTTTGCCTAAATGCCAATTTCTTGACGGCCAATCCCTTGCTGCCAAACGTTCCTATCAAAAAAATCCCTTGCTGCCAAACGCAGCACAGGTTCCATTTTGCTATTGTCTTGTTAGGGATTATGTTATGCATTGGTCAATTAGTCTTATTTATTGACTACTGCCATTCGTCTTTCATTAATTGGAGTGCTGAAAGAAGAGTTAGGTATGCTACATACATCACAATGAACTTTTAACATAGGATATCATATAGAGTTACTAATTGTTTCTGCATAATTTGCAAATCATGGGAATTGTGCGGGGATAAATCCACGCAAAGTGTCACCACCTCGTATGAACGGAGAGGGTGGCGGAGAAGCCTCGGTGAACATACAAAACAAGAGAACACTTAGGTAAACCGGTGGACGGAAGCGACCAAATGGACTCTGATGCTTAAGTTAGTGAGTCAAGAAAAGTATATAGTAAATAGGCCGAGATTTAATCCCCTTGACTGGTATCCATGGCTTTTATTTGTGGTAGTAGGGAGGTGTATCCCGATTGAACCTGAACTCTAGAGTGATTGGTTTAACCTCGTCACCTAGTCCTAGAAATACGAGGTAGAGCTACACTAGGACTCTTGGTCCTCCGTCCTTATCGCTAGCCCCTGATTGATCAGAGTAGCATTTCATTGGGACTCCTAACTTCTTGGTGCCATATTCCCAGCTCCTAAATATTTGGAGTGGTATTTGGTTAAGACTCGAGGTCCTAGGTTTACCCTTTACTGAGTAGGACTCATCCATAGTTGCTTTTGGCGCCAAACGTGGGCGAGGATGGACTTGCCCAAGTATCTTGCTAGTTAGAAGTGTCTTAGTCCTTACCTAGTTGAGTGGCGTGGGTGAGCCTTGGCTGACTTGGTGAAGGAAGCTCATTAGAGATGCCAAGTGATGAGAGGGAGGCAAAAATGCCGAGTGGTGAAAGGGAGGAGCCATTTTTGTTGAGTGGCATGAAGGCATGAAGCCATAGCCGATTGTCACTAAATGCCACACAAGAATTGTAGAAGATAAATTAATTGTGCATTGAGCATAGCTGTATTTGACTTATTTTTAAGTTTTTCCCGGCACATTTGTCACTGTGAGGGACAAAACTGTCAATTTGGCTTATTTCAAACTTTGTCTAATGTATGTGTACATCTGCAGTCCAAGTTAAACGATAATTGAGATTTCTTTTGTATCTGCGTTCTTACATTTGTTTTTTAGAAAATGTCATACAGAACCCCCTAGATTGTCCTATCTTCAAAGATACTGATTGCATTATATGCATTGCCTGTTAGTTTATATATTCGTTCCATCCACACTCTGCTTTGGGTGGTGCTTGCTCAATAACCAAAAAGTAGTATTATAATACAAGATTCTTTTAGAAATAACAAGTTGTGATGTCTAAAGAAGGTTACATAATACAATATTCTTTTAGAAATAACAAGTTACCCTTAGACATGGTTAATGAACTAAAATGCTATTGTTTATGCAAGTTGAATGATTTATTTACCTTTACATGAAATAGTTCACAAGCTAAAATGCCATTATAGGTCAAAATTGAATGGTGAATTTACCCTTATCTCCCAATGTCCCCCCCCTTTTTGTCTTTTCTATTTAATACACTGCCTTTTTCTTCCCCCTCTCTCTTGTTTAGGCCAACCTGCTATGATCACACTACTACCATTTCTTACATACACTACCACCTAACCACTCCGCCACCACCTCCCTAAAAATCCAATCAGTGACACCAGTGTTATTTAAGGTGTAGAGCGAATAGATCTCCTGAGGCCTAGGCGAGAAGTAATGCGAAATGAACGCTTCATCAAAACGAAACGAACAGTAAAAAAATAAGCAAATATTTTAATTTAATAATATAATTCGAACATGAGCAGATTCAACATCTAAATAGAAGTAGAATCGGCGTCTAAACTGATTAAAAACAGTTTAAGAATAGATTAACACAGCAGAATTAGATTGAACACAAATTAACACAATAGTCCAATAGAATCAAAAAATCAGAAACACAGCAAAATAAAACATAAACAGAGTAGAAGGGTAGAATGAGGTTCCAACACAATTAACATAAGAGTTCCAGAAATCAGAAGAAGAGGGGAAGAAGCAAAAGAGGAGGCGGTTCCAACACAATCAACATCACAGTAACAAAGTTCTAGAAAGAAGAAGAATAAGATGGGAAGGAGTAGAAGAGGAGAAGAATCAGAAAATTAGAAACACAGCAAGAAAAAAAAATAGAACATACCTTCTGTGTATGAGAAGAAGAGGGGAAGAAGTAAAAGAGGAAAAGGAGAAGAAGAACCAGAAAATCAAAAGAAAGAGAAGGGGAGAACAAGTAGAAGAATCAGAAACGGTCGCCTTAGTGATTCTTCCGGATAGACGCCGAGGACATATCTTCGGCGTCTATCCAAAAGAATAACTAAGGTGACTGCTTGTTTGCTTTTCTTGCTTGTTCATTTCTTCGCCTATTCTCCCTTTTTCCTCCCTTCACCTACAGTCGCTTCACCTGGCTTGGAATGCGCCATAAGGAAACTTCGCCTCTCTTCTCCTCTAGGCAAGCGCTTGGGCTCACTTTTCACAACACTGAATTGTACCACTATCCTACTACTCATTTTCACTTCATTAATGACCCAATAAACAAAAGATAGAGTTCAAACCTTGTGACCATAACCAGAATCTCAATCCACTGACAAACACCAAAATAATCCTTGTGTAAACCCCATGAAGATGACATATACTTTACCTTGTTAAGGTGCTAATTGAGGTAGAAAGTCCACTGTTTCATTGATCTAGTTTGAAACAAATGACCTTCTGAGTGAGCTTGTAGACTTCGGCGACTGCTTAGTTGGTAATGAAATTGGAAAATCTAGAATCGAACTATCGGGTTGGGTTGTACAAATTTAATCGTAATATTATTAAGCAATGGAATCTGGGAGGGACTACTATTGTCAAAAAAGAACTTGCGAAACAAAGTGGTGGCACAAATCATATTGTCGTTTGACACCACCAGAACAAAAGGTGATGGTAATGGATTTTATGTTGATATGATTATGGTGGAGGTGATGAGTGTAGTTGAATAAGGATTGCAAGTGGGTGCTAAGGAGGGGATGTAGAGATGAAGGTTTGAACAGTGTTATTTAAGGCGTAAAGTGAACCGAAGTGACCAAGGCTCTTAAAGCCTAGGCGAAAAGCAGAGCGAAATGTTTTACTAAAATGAAGCGAACAGTTAAAAAAAAAATATATATTTTAGTTTAATTAATTCTAAACATCTAAGTTCTAATTTTATATATATTAAATATTTAAATGCAAGTAAAACCATAAACATTAAATTAAAACAAGCACTAATAATATTTCAAATCTTAATAACAGTCATAGTTTAAACATTTAAATTCAAACAAACACTAATAATATCCCAAATTTTAATATTTAAAAACATAAGACACACAATTCAAGAAACTAAATAAACCATCTCAAGGACTTAGAAATCAATCCTCATCATTAAAGAAACCAGTTGTTTTTGTAAATTTATTTTTATGTACAGTCGTGGGCAAACACATGTACTGAATCACATTTCATAACAGTTGTAAACAATTTCAGATTCAGAAGCAAAACAGATTCAGAATCAAGACAGCACACAGATTCAGAATAGAAGCAGGACAACAAAACAGAAGTAGGTAAAAAAATAGCAAAATAGAAGCAGAATCAGGACAGCAAAATAACAGAATCAAAAAAAAAAAAAAGAACCAAAAAAGAGAAGAAGAACCAAAACCAGAACCAGAAGAGAGAAAAATAAAGAGAAATAAAAGAGAGAAGAAAAAGAGGAGACTAACTTGTGATCAACGAGGAAGGAGCAACGAGGAAAGAGTAGCAATCAGCGATCTTGTCTCTCCAGTCTGTCCAACGATCGTGTAGGAGGCTGTCAACTCTGTCCAGCATAAGAGTAGCGAAGCAATTTGATCAAAATTAAAGTAAAAATAGGGTTTGGGGCTGTATTTATGAGATAAGGCAATAATTCAGTGTATCATCATCTTATAATTTTTTTTCCAATTGCCCAATCCAACTGTCCATAATAAAAATAAAACAACATCGCCTCGCATGACTAAGGCGTTCGCTTTTTCGCCTTTCTCTTTAGCGAACAACACTCATTTTTCTCGTTTTTTCTCACTTCAGTCGCATTCGCTTTATCTGGGGTGTTCAAGGCGAGCTACCTTCACTTCACTTCGCTTCTCACGTAGGCACGTTTTTCAAAACACTAGGTTTGAAGGGGTTGTTAGCAATGTTATCAGAACCGGACCGGTAATCGAACCGGCAAGGGGACCGGGTCAATGGTTCAACCGTTGGGTCAACTGGTCGGACCGGTCATATAATAAAAAAATAAAAATATATATATAATAATTATAAAATTTAATAATTTAGCTAAAAAATATAAAATATGTATAAATTACATAAAATTTGCCATAAAATTAATGAAATTAAGTAACAAAGTGGGGGTTATTGTATTTTAAAGCAAAGTAAAGAGGTTCAAGTAAATTATAAAGAAAAAGAAGGGGTGTCATTTATAATTTTTCTAAGAATAAGGTTAAAAAAAATTAACTATTTACTGATTTAGGGCAACAAAATTTATTTATGTAATTTAATTTTTAAATAGGCATTAAACCGTCCGGTTTTTATAAAACCGGCGGTTCACGGTTTTTAACAAAAATCGGCCGGTTTTTTGGTTTTTAGGTTTTTAACCGGTTCACTTCCTTAAGCAGTTCAACTAAGGAACCAAACCGGTTAGGGTCCCGGTTCACGGTTGAACCGGTCCGATCGGCCGGTCCGGTCCGGTTCTGATAACACTGGTTGTTAGGGAAGGGAAAGACTATCTCTCACCATCTTACCAATGTATTTATGCATATAACTCATGGGAAATTGAGTAAAACAAGTCGTCCTGTTACTTCTATTAATCGACAGATCCTAACAAAACGTGTCAAGGAAATGTCAGAAACTGCAAGAAATCTCCTTGAAGTTATGTCCACATATAGGAGGTATGGATGCAATTTTTTCTTGTTCGTCCTTTGTTTCTTGTTGGGATAATCATCTGAGCCTGACGGAGAGGAAAGACGGGAGATGAGCTTCATATTTATACCACGAGTCTTGCTCGAAAGTGCCCATCATTGCCTAATAATAGGCATGTGATTTATTTTTGCCACATCTGAACCTTGTATCTCGACTTATTTGTTTTGTCCACTTTCTATGCTTAGCGAGCTCAACGGAGAAAAAAAATGATCGAAGGTTTCATTTTTATCAGATTAGTCTTGCTCTAAGTGTCCATCATTGACCAATAATATGCATTTGGTTATTATTTTAGTGATGTATGGACCTTACATATAGATTTTTCTATTCTGTCCAGTTTCTGTCAACCATGTAATGTGTTTTGGAAGTTGAGCTTACTATTTCCTTTTTGGTGTCCTTCAAAGATTGGATCCATACTGTAGCCACTGGCACTTAATAATTTGTGATCCATTCTCCCAACTCAAATCTTGTTAGTGGTGCAAAAGACGCATTTTTCTTTTTGTTGAATTGTATACTGTTTCAGTATGTTATCTGTTTGTTCTTGTTCGTGCTCTTGAGAGTTGAGAAGATTGAATATTGAGTTGGTTTAGTTTCATGATGACTGGCGCTGGCCGTACTAATCTTGAATAAGTATTTTGAGAAACCAACCAGTTTATCATTTACTTTATTTCTTTTCTTGATCATCCATTTCGTTCATGGGTTTAACCAGAAATAGGCCGGTGTCTACCACAGTCATGGTTGTGGGGACCGTTGATTGTCTGGCAAAGGAAACAAAGAGATTGAAAGCTCCGACCTCCGACTAGTGGTTTCCATCTCGCTGTTGGATATCTCTTGAAGGCGTTCATCACAGCCCAATGATCAATATGTAATGATGACATGAGCTGCATTTGGGCACCATAGTTCATGAATATGT